AGAATGACAATAGTTGACTTTGTTGACTTTTGGAGAAATTTAGATGTTAATGAGATATCATGGTATAATTATCATATAGGTTGCCGCTTGTGAGAGAAAAGCCTACTGAACGTTAACACTTCAAGGTGAGTACTTTATGCGATTTTATGGGATATATACATGATTATTATAAAAGTATTTTATCCATGACATATGCGTGATATGTTTATATGCATATGATGATAACTTGATTACATTGATGTGCATGATATTTAAATACATGCATGATATGAAAGGTGATGTTGACGAGAAGGATTATGATGACTTGTTATTATCGATATGATATTCAAGTATGTGTATAAGGTGAAAAGAATGATGATGATGATGCATATGTGATTTACGTTGTCACTTGCATGAGATGTATGTTGCATGTCACGATGAGATTTGCATTAATGAGTGAGTATTGCAAATAAATGATATGCAACTAGTATGATTCGGCAAGATTCGTCTACCGTACGGGATGGGTTGGACATGAAAGGAGGGCTTGCAATTTCGAGGTCTTGAAGTTCTCATCCATAGAATACGCCACATACGCAAAGAAAAGTGACGAGCCGAGGCCGCACTTGCAAGATTATAATTAAAAGACGCTAAAACACTGTTTTATGTGTGCATGTGATCATGAAACCATATTGTATTCACTAAGCTTTTTGCTTATACTATACATGTATATATCTCAGGTATCATTCGTCAGTAGACGAGTGAAAGGAGGAAGAAGGGACCTACGTTTTGAAATCATGCTTGATTAGACATTTTATTTAGCATTGATTATGTTAAGATATTTTACGTTTCCACTATTATGTAACATATTATGTTAAATATATTATGTGTGTCTGAAATATTAAGTTGTATTTTCGTTCATAACATATGTTATTAAGAATGATGTTACGGCACTCGAAAGGAAAGAAATTATATATAAAAAAAATATATCGGGGCGTGACAAGTTGGTATCAAAGCTTTTGTTTAAGAGAAATAGGTTAAGACTTCTTTTAGCCTAAGCTTAAACTCTATGAGGATTCTAGAACATGAGAATTTGGGGTATTACTTTTTTGCATCATAAGGAAGTTTGATATTTTTATCAATAGGTAACGTAGTGATTTTCTTATGGTATGTAGGAAGATGGTGCACACGATACACACTAGGGCCATCAACCGGGGGAGAGGACGCGGGCGTGGGCCTGAAGGGCGGAGGACACCTTATGGGCTATGCCCAAACGGCGAATCGGTGGGTAGTCATCATAGTGTGGGGCACAATTCGGGACGAGGCACTCCGGGTGGCAACCAAACACCCCCACGGGGCACGCTATCACGGGGGTCGATCCAAGAGGAAACCTCGTGTGAGCCATCCGAAGAGTACACGCCAAGCTCTCCTACATGCTCAAATTTGGAAGAAAAGATAGTGGCCCTTCAAGGAACAATTGAGGAGTCAAAGGGTAGATTGTCCCGATCCTTAAGAGAAAATGAGAAGATGAGAGGATGGCTTGATAATTTGCAAAGGGCACACCTTAAGGYRCTGAATRAAAGGGATAACTTRCGGGAAGAACGACACATACTGAGGTTGCAATTAGCGCAAGAGCGRAGAATAGYCRCTAGGACTTGGACTAGACGCATTGGAGATAGGTCTCGMTTCTATAAGAGATCAACCGCAAATTTTGTAGGTGTTGTGAAAGAATACCTTGCCGCCTGGGTTCAGTGCTACAAAAGGGGTCCGAGAGTTAGCACACTGTGGCACTCCCAGCCGTCTGTAACYTTCGAGCAATGGATGAGGGACCCATAYCTCCCGGAAATGCCTTAGGGGTGAGGTTTGCCTTCGAGAGAGAGATMTGAAAGTTCATTTCCTATATATAGCTATTATTTTCTAGCTGATTCAGTACATTTTGGGATACTTCTGTTAGTCGATATTTTGGAAGACATGTTCTGGTGGTTCACCTTATCCCAAATTTTTGGTGATGTAATAGGAAATTTTTTCGTATCAACTTTCCCTCTCGAACAATGCATGGTATGTGACTTTATGTCACATTTTGTTATGAAAATTTTCATGATTGACCCTAATATCTAGAAGTATATTGTACATTATTACTCGTATGTGGTACGTGGTCTAAATTATTTGAAAACTAATATATGATACTGCATAAATGTTATTAATTGGCAAAATTGATTAATAAAGTTACAAGTAGTAATTGTATGTATGGCTTGTGCATTTTAATGATGGAACGAGTCTCAACCATTGAACCAGTATAAATAATAAAATAATATGCATAAGCATGTTAATGGTCATAATGTCCATTACTATAGAATGTCGAAGAGAGTGACAAGGTCGATGAATATTAATGGTCGGGAAGATAATCGAGTTGAGGGTATGACTTCAACGCCAACTGAAAGCTGGAGTGGTCCCGATAGACCAACAGTTCAGCTCGCACACCCAGAAGTGAACATCGCCAAGGAGATGGAACATTGTATGCAAGCTGCTTTACCTGGAATGCTTGAGTGCATTCAAACTGCCACACTTAAGATGGTTGATGCTCATCTGAAGCATACCGAACCTCCGAGAAGTAAAGCCGATGAAGATAAAGAATCATCTAAGAATGAATCTCACAATCAGGAGGAGTCAAATGGGGAGGCACTCTTCGATCACAATGAGATTAAGAAACCTAGTGGTAGGGGATGCAGTTACAAAACTTTCACCAGCACCGACCCATCGGTTTTCGAGGGCAAAAATGGACCACTAGCAGCCATGAACTGGCTCGACGAGATAGAGAGTTGTTTTCTGACCTGTCATTGTGCACCAAATGATATGGTGCAGTTTGCGTCAACCAAGTTCAAATCGAATGCTTTGCAATGGTGGAAATCAGTTAGAGCCACTAGGGGACTATCTGGGACTGCATCCCTCACTTGGGAGGAATTTAAGGAGTTAATGAGCGAAAAATTCTTCTCACCACTCCAGATGAGAATACTAGAAAGTGAGTTCCTACAATTGGAACAGGGAAACATGACAGTAGAGAAATATGTGGAGATCTTTATTGAGAAGTCACGATTTGCATAGCATCAGGTGAGTACCGAGATGAGAAAAGTGAACCGGTTTGTTGACGGACTAAAAAGGGAACTTAGGAGGCTTGTGGGAATGTCAAAACCTACTACCTTTCAAGATGCGGTAGAACTGGCCACCCTTGCTGAGAAGGACAGTTATGTCCCGGATGCATCGAAGAAGAGAAAGATTAACCAGGCTGGCACGGAGAAATTCAAGAGAACCCAAGTCGTTGGGGGAAAAAGTGGGGCAATAACTGCTTGCGCCACATGTGGAAGGAACCACCCAGGTGAATGCAGGTATGGCAAGGGAGTTTGCTTTACTTGTGGAAAGCCTTGGCACATGTCAAGAGAATGCAAGGCCAGACCTATCTGCTACTCGTGTGGTGATCCCGGACATCGCCAAAGGGAATGCTCCAAAAAGAACACGGAGCCACCGAGGTTGCTCGGAGGATCGAGCGGAAAGAAGCCGGATGCACCAAAAGGGAAGGGTTGAGTCTTTGAGATGACTACGGAGGAAGCAAAGGATGCACCTGATGTAGTAACAGGTACGTTTCTAGTCAACAAAATACTTGCAAGAGTGTTATTTGATTTGGGTGCAAATAAATCTTTTGTCTCCACTAAGTTTTGCATACGATTGGGAAAATCACCTGTATTACTTAGTCAACGTAGAGGTCGAAACTGCTGATGGTAACGTCACCATGGTGCGAGAGTGTTTTGATAACTGCACTATAGAGATAGAGGGTCAAGACTTTGAGGTCCACTTATTACCTATGGGCATTAGAGAATTCGATGTTGTCATAGGAATGGACTGGTTGTCTAAACATCAAGCTCACATTATTTACTTCAAGAAACTAATTCGAGTGAGAAATAAAGATGGGGATGAGATCACTGTGTGCGGTAGTCGGCCTGGCAATCACACTAACCTCATATATGTGATCAAGGCTAGAAGATGTATTCGCAAAGGATGTGAGACGTACTTAGCATATGTCATAAATGCTAAAATGGAAAAGGGAGCTATAGAGGAGGTTCCCGTGGTTTGGGAATTCCCTGATGTGTTTCCTGACGACCTACCAGGGGTACCTTCTGAAAGGCAAGTCGAGTTTAGGATTGACTTGACACCCAGAGCCATACCGATTGCTAAGTCACCTTACCGTCTAGCACCATCAGAAATGCAAGAACTAATGACCCAAATCCAGGAATTGTTGTATAAAGGGTTTATCCAACCAAGTTCGTCCCCATGGGGAGCACCAGTGCTATTTGTGAAAAAGAAAGACGGATCAATGCGCATGTGCATCGACTATAGGGAGTTGAATAAGGCGACAATAAASAATAGATACCCACTACCCYGAATAGACRACTTATTYGATCAACTACAAGGAGCAAGTTACTTCTCGAAGATCGACCTACGATCAGGCTACCACCAGTTGCGGGTTCGTGAAGAGGAYGTCCCAAAGACGGCGTTTAKAACTCKTTATGGGCACTACGAGTTTCTGGTCATGCYTTTCGGTTTGAMAAATGCCCCYGCGGTATTCATGGACTTGATGAATCGGATATGCAAGCCTTATTTAGACAAATTCATCATCGTCTTCAKTGATGACATCCTCATATACTCAAGAAAYAAAGAAGAGCATGAGTGCCACCTACGTACAGTGTTGGAGATGCTAAGAAAGGAGAAGTTGTATGCCAAATTCTCCAAATGTGAGTTTTGGATCCGTGAAGTRCAATTTCTCGGGCACATGRTTAACYAAGAGGGTATCATGGTGGACCCAAGCAAGATAGAAGCAGTAATGAAATGGGAAACTCCAAGATCARCAACGGAGATAAGGAGTTTCTTAGGATTGGCCTGTTATTATCGGAGATTCATAAAGGATTTCTCAAGAATAGCCCTCCCTCTAACATCCTTAACGAAAAAGTCAAGCAAGTATGTGTGGGGGCCAACACAAGAGAATGCTTTTCAGACCTTAAAAGAAAAACTCTGTACCGCTCCAATTTTATCATTGCCTGAAGGCTCGGAGGACTTCGTAGTATGTAGTGATGCATCTCACCAAGGTTTAGGATGTGTACTTATGCAACGAGAAAAAGTGATTGCTTATGCATCACAACAGTTAAAAGATCACGAGAAGCGCTACCCAACACATGACTTRGAGCTAGCGGCAGTGGTGTTCGCAWTGAAGATATGGYGACAYTACTTGTATGGAACTYGATGTGTGATCTTCTCAGATCATAAAATCCTAAAGTACTTGTTCGATCAGAAAGAGTTAAACATGAGGCAAAGAAGATGGATGGAGCTACTAAAAGATTACGACTGTGAGATACGTTACCACCCAGGAAAAGCCAACGTGGTAGCCGATGCCTTGAGTCGCAAGGATCACATGGCACCCATCCAGATAAAGGCTATGAGCTTAAGAGCCACCACAAGTTTGATTGAAAAGTTATTAGAGGCCCAAAAGGACGGTTTAATGAAGGAGAATCTAAAGACTGAGAGGATCGTGGGCCAAGCACAATTCCTCGTAGATGACACACAAGGGTTGAAACGATTTCAAGGTAGAATATGGGTCCCAAAGGTCGGACCATGTAGGGATATAATTTTAGATGAGGCTCATAAGTCAAGATACTCAATTCACCCGGGAACAAACAAGATGTACCGAGATTTAAGAACCTTGTATTGGTGGCCAGGGATGAAGAAAGCCGTTGGTAACTATGTGGAGCAATGTCTAACTTGCCTGAAGGTCAAAATAGAACATCAACGACCGTATGGTCAACTACAATCTATGGAAATCCCAGTTTGGAAATGGGATCACATCACCATGGACTTTGTGACGAAATTGCCTAAGACCTTACGAAGCCATGATGCGATTTGGGTAATAGTGGATCGATTAACGAAATCCGCTCACTTTCTGCCAATAAAGGAAACATACACTTTGGATAGACTTGCCAAGCTGTATATCGACGAGATTGTCTCTCGTCATGGAGTACCGTTGTCCATCATCTCCGACAGGGATAGTCGGTTCACTTCCAACTTCTGGAAGGCTTTTCAGCGGGAGTTAGGTTTGAGGATCAAGCTTAGTACGACTTACCACCCACAGACCGACAGACAAAGTGAGAGAACCATTCAAACACTCGAAGATATGTTAAGGGCGTGTGTTATCGACCTAGGAGGAAATTGGGATAACCACTTACCTTTAATAGAATTCGCCTACAACAACAGTTATCAGAGTAGCATCCAAGTAGCACCATTCGAGGTGTTATATGGGAGAAAGTGTAGAACACCGGTATGCTGGGAAGAAGTTGGGGAAAAGCAGTTAGCTGGGCCAGAGTTAATCCAACAAACATCCGATAAGGTAGTCCAAATTAGAGAGCGACTAAAGSTTGCTCAGGATCGRCAAAAGAGCTATGCTGACAAAAGGAGGAAACCAATYGAATTTCAAAAGGATGATAAAGTGATGTTGAAAGTGTCACCTTGGAAGGGTTTACTTAGGTTTGGAAAGAAAGGAAAGTTGAGACCACGTTACATAGGACTCTTTCGGATTATAAACCGAGTGGGAGCAGTAGTGTACCGACTGGAATTACCCGATGAGCTTCAAGGGATTCATAACACATTTCATGTGTCGAATCTAAAGAATTGTTTAGCCAAGGAGGATGTTGTGGTTTCACTGGACGAGGTAAGCATAAACGAGAAATTAAGCTTCATTGAAGAACCGGAACGCATATCGGATCGGAAGATTAAAACACTAAGAAACAAGGAGATTTCGTTGGTATTAGTACATTGGAAGTTTCACAAAGGCCCCGAAGCAACTTGGGAACCTGAAGCAGAGATGAAATCTAAGTACCCCCAACTGTTTGGCTAGGTTGAAATTTCGAGGACGAAATTTTCTTTCAAGAGGGGGAGAGTTGTAAAACCAAAAATTTATATATATATATATATATATATATATATATATATCGTACGGGTTTTTATATAGATAATGCTCAATTTACTAAATTCGTTTGAGGTGATAAAATATTTATGTTTTTAGTTGAGGAGGTAGTAATCAAAATCTCAAAATAAGTTTAATGTTCGGACC